CTTCTTCTTCTTCTTCTTCTTCTTCTTCTTCTTCTTCTTCTTCTTCTTTCTTCTTCTTTTTCTCTTCTTCTTCTTCTTCTTCTTCTTCTTCTTCTTCTTCTTCTTCTTCTTCTTCTTCTTCTTCTTCTTCTTCTTCTTCTTCTTCTTTTTCTTCTTCTTCATCCTACTCTTCTTTTTCTTCTTCTTTTCCTCCTCCTCCTTCTGCTGCTGCTGTTTCTTCTTCCTTTTTTTTACTCATCATCCTCCTCCTCCTTGTCCTTCTTCTCCTTCTCTTCATTCTCCTTCGTCTTCTTCTTCTCCTCCCCCTTTGGGGAAGAGGTAAGAAACACCCATACCCTCTTTTTTACTTCTCCTACAGATACGTTTTACGAGGATAATCGGCTACTATATCAAGGGTGTAAAAAGACAAAATGTTCACATTTTGACCATTCTGGGTTTCTTAGATTTTCTTGATATTTTTATTACAATTTATGTCTTATTTACTTACAAAAAGGTGTAAACAAAGTAAAATTTGAAACAATAATACGTATTACATAACTGTCCTAAAGAAAAAATTAGTAAAATTTTAAAACTCTGAGAACTGGATGAACATGTTATGTCCCACTTATTACCCTGAATGTTGAGCAGATACTTTTGTGACAATACTACCCTGGTGAAAACATTACTTCAGCTTCAAAGTGTGGATATAATAAATTTTTCATAAAGAAAGAAAATTCTTATGTTTATCTCTAAGTATGCCTACTACTACACATCCGAACAAGACACTCATCTTAACAGTTGTACATGAGCAAATACGATAACATTAACATCAATTTAAAAACAAGAAAATAAAATAGCCTTCAGCATTTAACACAATATATATAAAACCTAATTTTTGTAAATCATGTAATTTTTTTTTTAAATAAATCTTTAAGCACAGGACAACTCACTGTACAGTTCTTGTTATTTCCAAATATAGAACAATGTTCTTGCTGTCTTCTACCTCACAGCGCAGTACATCTTTAAAACTCATTTTTTTTTTTTTAAATAATCCGTTTGAACAACTATTGTCTACTGTAAAAAGCTGTGAATTTGTATGGAAACCCAGAGTGGTCAAAATAAAACTGTTTCATCTTGGTTCCTCTCGTTAATTTACCTACTTCTGTTCTGTAGTAATCTCTGCTGCACTCCTTCGAGTGTCTTAAGTGTTAAATGTTTTAGCCTGAATTCCTAAAAACAGGGCGTGATGTTGACCACATTACCCATCTTGTACCGACTGGTGTATAAAAATATAGGTCTAGCCCTATATGCCCTATATGCCCTATACGCCTAAATGCGTGGAAAAGGGTCCTTTACTTACTCTACCTTAGAACAGACGGGGCTTCAAGTAAACTAAGGCAGGGGACTGAGCGAGTTAAATGTCAGCTATCAAATACCAATCTTGCCGGTTCATGAAATGAAAGCAACACAACTGATAACTTGAGTATATCTTCTTTTGCGTTCATCAGAAGATGTAATTGCGTTGTGTCCGTTTACAGCCTGGCTGCGATATTTGCACATTTCGGCCAACACATCCGACTTCTGCGGGCATTTGTTGATCGGGTTAGTCTTTCCGGTACCTGAGTATATGAAAGCGATTGCAAAGAAGAAGAAGAAATACCAGTCTAGTTAACTCTTTTCATACTAGATAACATATATTGTCTCATGGTTTGCTCCATATAACATAAAATGTGTACACAGCTTGCACCATATAAGCTATAATTTGTTAATGGTTTGCTACAAGTAACATATCATGTGTTTATTATTTACTCCGTAGTCTACCATATTTTCATGGTCTGCTCCACATAACATATTTTGTGTTCATGGTTTGCTCAATATAAAGTAAAATGTTTTCATGGCTTGCTCTATATAATCTGTCATGTATTCGTGGTTTGCTACACATAACCTATCATGTGTTTATGGTTTGCTCAATATAAAGTAAAATGTTTTCATGGCTTGCTCTATATAATCTGTCATGTATTCGTGGTTTGCTACACATAACCTATCATGTGTTCATGGTTTGCTCCATATAAAGTAAAATGTTTTCATGGCTTGCTCTATATAATCTGTCATGTATTCATGGTTTGCTACACATAACCTATCTTGTGTTCATGGTTTACTCTATATAACCTATAATTTGTCCATGGTTTGCTACATACATTGTATCTTGTGTTTATATTTTGCTCCATATAACCTATCATGTGTTCATTGTTTGCCATATATAACCAATCACATGTTCGTGATTTTCTTCATATCTTTTCCTCCTTCTTCTTCTTTGTTCACCAACTGTAAACTGCAGTGGAAAATCCTGGTTGTTCGTACATTTGGACTTTGGCTTTGTGTTTTTCGTGTACATCTATTATACTGGCTTACTAGTATGCAGCTGGTTGTTCTTTGCCACTCTAGTAGATGCACTCCGTCTTCGAAGGAAGCCATCAATTATTACTCTTACGACATACTTTTGGGGTAGGCAGTGACTCTATTCTTGTTTTCCCCCCAACTGAGCTCTAGAACCCACACGGGGAGTTTTCTCCATATAACATATCATGTGTTCATGGTTAGCTACATTAAACATATCATGAGTTCATAGTTAGCTACATATAACATATCATGTGATCATGGTTGGCTACTTTTAACATATCATGTGATCATGGTTGGCTACTTATAACATATCATGTGATCATGGCTGGCTACATACAACATATCATATGATCATGGTTGGCTACTTTTAACATATCATGTGTGCATGGTTGGCTACAAATAGCATATCATGTGTTTAGGGTTTTGTCCAAATATCATATCAGGTGTTCATGATTTTCTCCATACATTATATGTTCATGATTTTCTCCATACATCATGTGTTCACGATTTTCTCCACATACCATGTGTTCATGATTTTCTCCATATATCATGTTTTCATGATCTGCTACATATAACCTATCCTTTGCAATGTTATCTGCAGATGGCTATGTATTCTGTGAAGAGAGAGCAATGAAACAATAGGGTACTAACCCCGGTGTAATAAAGTCAGGCCTCTCGACTATAATTTTAACTTGCCTATCACTGAAGGAGTTAACTATACTTGTTCCGGGTAGTTTGAACAACTGTAAAAAAAACATTTTGATAAGAGATAAAGAGAAAGAGATAGAGAGAGAGAGAGAGAGAGAGAGAGAGAGAGAGAGAGAGAGAGAGAGAGAGAGAGAGAGAGAGAGAGAGAGAGAGAGATAGGTAATACTAAACCCTACAGAGAAATAAGCAGTGTTTAATCTCCACTTTCTGAGTCGGGAGTCAAACTAATAACCATGTGAGAATGAATTACTGACACAACTGACCGGGATCAGAAACATGAGAACCAAATAACTAACTATGAGTTTGTTGGTTTCAGCTGTCATAACAGTTTGATAAACTCCTTGTAACTCAACCACTTGTTACAGTGACTCATTTTTGTCTACAAATCTTACTTAAATTGGTCCTGTTCAACAGTTGTGTTTCTGTTCTTCACCAGATTCAGACATGTTATTTATACTTAAGTAATACACACTTAGAACATAAGAACTCAATAAAACCTTTTAATATGAAAAGAGTTAATATTGAGCTTCTGAAATAAACTTGCATATATAAACATGTCATGAGCCTTCAAGAAAACCACAAACGATATGACATAAATGTGAACTATAACTAGCACATTTATCTCAACATTGTGGAGACTTAACACTTCATGCAATAAAATGTAAATGTATAAAACACTATTTTCTAAAAATGAAACATTGCCATTTTATATAAAATACGTTACCAAAGTTAGAGGCAAAAACATGAAATAAATTATTTAGAATTGCATCTTATAACTTAGAAAAGCAAGAAGAATAGTATGCAGTTGTTTTTTTATTCCTTTCCAAGACTGCGTTCCAGAGAGTCTGAAACCCAGTGATTATAATAGCCAAACCTCGGGACGCCAATCCAACAGGACAAATGAATAAAGAAACAAACTTTATTTTCAAAGAGTTAAGAATTTGGTTCCTAAATAAATTGCATTAAAGTTATAATTAAAGAAAAAGCTTTCTTTGGACAATATTGAAAAAAAGTGGAATACAGTAGGATTCTTTGTTAAATTGTCCATTTATACAGTCAAGGGCGATATCATTAGGATGCCGTAGCTCAGGAACAAATACCAGTCACTGTGTAAATTGTAATTATAACAGGGCGGCCAAAAGTTAAGTAAAGAATAAAATGGTATCTTAACTATCCATAAAATACAGTACCATGCAAAACTATATCTTTGTTTCTGTGTAATAAAAGGGTTGCCAGACAAAATAAAATCTGCCTCCTGTTGTGAAAACCTATAAATACTGGCCCCATCGTCTTCAGTCTTCTGATTGTTTAATAAGTCCATGCAAAGTCAAGTACATTTCCACAACAGGGAAGTATGTGGCATATGATGATTGACATATTTTTGTAGTTCAACTGGCACTTGATGGGTGATGTCATCAACACCACGTTGGCTGCCTTACTTCCAAGGACATTTCCAAATACCTATTTTAGACAGGATCGAACTGGGAACCAATGTCAGTTATCTAAAAAGTATGTGTGTATGTAAAGGTTATCACATAATTTCAAGGAATTATTTAAGAAATCTAGACAATTACGGGGCAGTACATATGTCTGTTTAAATACATTTACCAAACACTAGCTGCCTCTAGCAAAAAACTACTCTCCAGACGTCCTGAATGATGTATCATCTGGATCATTGTGCAACAATTCTTACTGCACACACACACAGACATACACACACACACAATGTGGCCATCTTTGATTTCATGAGGGAAATCTTTTTGTGTGGGATATTGATCAACCCCAAATCCATTACCACTCAAGCGTTGGTTATCAGTTCATACATATCTGTGATTTCAGAAATTTATATAATAACTCAGCAATACTTGTTTATGTTTAAATACATCTACTAAACAAGAGCTGCCTTAAGCAAACTACTCTCCAGATGTCCAGAATGTTTCACCTTGATCTCTCAAATCCTTGAAGTAGATATTAGCAGACACAAATGACCCATCTGACAGCTTGCCTCCAATAGGAAGATGACCCACATGTTGGAAACCTGGAGAACGCTCTATGATCTTTGTCATAGCAAAGTTATTGGTAAAAGTATCTGTGTAAATTCCTGAATATCCCAGAAGTTTAGAGAACAAAACAACATGTCTAAAAATAAACTCTCCAATTCCTTTGCCCCTCTCAGATCTTTTCACGATAATAATTGGATCAGCAAATGTCAGGTCTGAACCTCGATAGAATTTACTGTTGATTAAAGAAAAGGCAGCAATCATTTTCCCACAATCTTTACTGCACACAATAAAATTGTGGCCATCTTTGATCTCGTTACGGAAATCTTTTTCCGTGGGGTATTCATCAACCCCAAACCCATTGCCGCTCAAGGCAGCGCTGGTTATCAGTTCATACATATCTGTGATCTGTGAGTCTGTCATGGTGTCTATAACTACTGGGTCCCCATCTGGGAGAGTGGCGTGAAGAGGTAAGTGCATACTGTTGCAGTAGTGTTTTAAGTTTGCTGAGATATCTTTATTGTCTATCAACATATTCTCTGAACGTGGTGGTAATTAAATTTGCAATGGGGAATTCTTCTTTGGTGAATGTTGTACACTCTTGAATGAAACATCCACTGTATTTTAGCGCAGTCTGGACACTTTGTTCTTGTTTGTTGGCATCACAGTTTTGTAGAAGATGATCAAAGAAACATCCTTACTGAGTCTTTTTTGGTATTTTTCATCCTATTAAAAATAAAAATAAAAATTATTTTGAGCTGCAAGAAAGGGATAACAAACAAAAGTTCTTGTCGTTATTAAACTATTAAATGTTATGATTAATTAAAATATAGTAGGACCTACATAGAGCGATTTAATTAAACTTGAATGAAAAATATTTAAAGAAAAAACACACACTCAAGTGGATGAAATGTCAACAAGAAATTAACAGAAACTCTACTCTGCTATTTTAAATACATACAACTGCCGGGAGCAGATGGCGAGTAGCTAGAATGTGGGATTTATATCTGAGATACCTGGATATGATTTTTCAGTCCCGTGGTGAAATTGTTCTGCTGAGGATAAAACTAATGCAAAATATGGTTTTTGTAACGTGTTTCACCCCAATCAAACTGTATTTGGCTGTTCATTCATGCATCGTGACCTTTTACACGCGATAGTTTATGTTACAGGGGTGTCACATTGTGTTGCCTTCAACACTATCTCCGGCAATATCCCGTGTTCTATATTACACAATGTCACCACTTTTAACGACCCCACAACACCATGGACTGGTCCTAACCCCAGCCCCCTACCGCACAGCCTCACCCTGCTTCGCACGAGCGAGTGCAGCCTACCTTTTGTGTCACGTTGTGTTGTCTTCGATGCTATTACAGGCGACATCCCGTGCTCTATATTACACGATGTGACCGCTTTTAAAGACTCCACAACTTCTACAACTGGCCCCAACTCCAGCCGCCCTACCTTACAGATTCAGCATAGGTCCCACGAAACAGTGCAGCCTACGCTCCGTAGTTTAAGAATTCTTAACATTTTGCAGTGCGCACTAAAAAGCCGTCTTGCTGCAGAAAAGCAACGCTGCTCTCCTTGTCGCTCGTCAACGCTGACAGCTGTAGTAAATTCATGTCCTACTTAAAGTCTGACAAAGCTATAACATACACAATGTCGCCCGACAAAGCTATAATATACACAATGTCGCCCGACAAAGCTATAACATACACAATGTCGCCCGACAAAGCTATAACATACACAGTGTCGCCCGACAAAGCTATAACATACACAATGTCGCCCGACAAAGCTCTAACATACACAATGTCGCCCGACAAAGCTATAACATACACGATGTCGCCCGACAAAGCTATAACATACACAATGTCGCCCGACAAAGCTATAACATACACAATGTCGCCCGATAAAGCTATAACATACACAATGTCGCCCGACAAAGCTATAACATATACAATGTCGCCCGACAAAGCTATAACATACACAATGTCGCCCGACAAAGCTATAACATACACAATGTCGCCCGACAAAGCTATAACATACACAATGTCGCCCGACAAAGGTATAACATACACAATGTCGCATGACAAGGCTATAACATACACAATGTCGCTGGCCGCTCACAACGATCTGTACACGACGCCCAGGATACCTAGCTTACAGTATCGAACACAAAACAAAATGACATCCCTGTAACATACATCAGCGCATCAATAAACGGGCAACTATAGTTTGTTTAGGGTAAAAAACGTTACAAGTTCCGAAATTCCTATCCGGCTTTACACCGAAGGGGAAGAGGAGAGAAGGGGGGGGGGGAAGGGGGGGGCGTAGTAAAGTAACGACTAGTCGCTCAACTGCGCATCGGAAGGTCGTCGGTTCGGGTCCTGACGGTATGAGACTTTTTCCAAAATGACCTTGGCTCCCAGGTCGACTCAGCCTTGAATGAATACTAAGCGGATTCCTGGGATGTAAAGGTGGCCTGCGTGATGCTGACCAGATCAACCACTAAATTTCGATTGGTCAATACAATTTAAATCTAGCCATATATGCCTATTATCCTCAAGTTGTGGAAACAGGTTCTTTACAGTCTACACCCACTGTAAAAACCACACAACCCTAAATCTCCTGGTTCAAACCGCCTGTACTACACTACCCTAAACTGTGGTAAATATAGACAAAGACAAAGAAGGGTAGAGTTTAATATTTAAATGCAAACTATAATATAAAAAAACAACACTTATAACGTGATATTGCTAATTTAAAAATAAAATTGAAGAAATAATATAAATATACAAAGTAGGTGTAGACAATTTATCCACTTAAGGACGCAAACCTATCACATTAGCACACACAACATATTTTCAGCCGCTACACTTGTGTGTGCCTCAGCTTTTAGAGTATATTACCAACAGAACAATAGATTTGAGAAATGTCAAATCAAAAATGTCTGGTTCGTCAGTATCCGAAGCCACGACCTTCTGATTCGCAGGCAAGCGTATAAACGGTACACCACGTCGGCTTCTAGATGGATGATTACTGTTTTAAAAAATAGTTTGTCACTGAGATCGATACGTGGAAATATGACTGTCACTTTCCTACTCATTATGTATTTACTGCTTCTATTTACGGCTCTCTCTCTCTCTCTCTCTCTCTCTCTCTCTCTCTCTCTCTCTCTCTCTCTCTCTGCTCTCTCTCTCTCTCTCTCTTGCTTTCTCTCTCTCTCTTCCCCTTGATGTTTTGCCTCTCTGCGTTAGTTAGGCGGCCATAGTGATGTTGACCACATCATTCAAAGAAGGCCTATTGATCTACACACACACACACACAAAATGTCTAGAATAGTACGCTCGATACGCTGCTGGTGTGAAAGGGGTCCTTTACTTTACCTACTCTCCTGTATTGTCTGACAGGAACCTAAACAAAGGAATTCCGTGAGTTCCCTGGAAATCCAGTACACCAGGGGTATAAAGGTTTGAAATGAATTTGGTGGGACTATACGAAACAGAACTCCTGCGTGGCCTGACTTAAAAATGAAACTGATCTTTGTCAGCCTTGACCGCCTCTGAGACACCGACTAACCCCAACCATAACCTTAACCTTAACCCCAACCCATAACATTCCTGGGATATTGGATGTTCCCTGGAACTCATGGATTTCGTTTGTTTGGGGTAACTAAAATGGAAGTACTCAGACCACTACATCACATCTGGAAAGGGTGTAAAAATAAAATAAGCATGAGTAAGTAAAAAATTTTACCCCACCAGGACATCACACAAGCGGTAAACACCCGGTGACACAAAGTGCCACCACGCGGATGAGGATCACCCGTGGGGAGGTCCCAGAAGCCGCTTTCAGCCTTCATGCTATACTGCGGCCACTGACAAAAGCCGGAATGGGACTTCAAAATAACGAAAAATTGCGTCCCAAATTGGAACGTTTATACAATAAATTCCTGACCTGAAAATACGTGCACAAGAAGTTTAATTACACGAATATATAAACAAGGAGATTCACAATACGGTAAACCGGGCAAACAGCAAGTAACTATGCAATGGTTCTCATTGAATTACAAAAGACAGTAAAGTTCATACTAGAGTCAACATTGCAGATATAGATAATCTATTTCAAGCGAACGAAAGAAAAAGAAGAAGAAGAAGGTTCTGGTGGAATTAAAATGATCTCATCAAGAAGTCTAGGTCTGCTAACTTTAATGTAATATGTTTTTCTAACAGCGATTGCAACAGTAACAACAACAACACTAACAACAACAAAAACAAGAACACTAACCACTGATCCTAACTCTATGTGAACTGAATACAGCGACAGGCTAGAGTGAATCCAGCATTAAATAACAGTGACAGATGTTTTAATAACAAATGCGACTAAATCCATCCTTATATGAATGAGAAAAGTTGGATTCCCTAAAAATGACAACAGACAGTAAACATAGTGTGTCTGTGTAGTGACAGATAGAAAAAGAGATACAGACATAGAGACAAGGATAGACAGAGAGAGAGAGAGACAGAAAGGGAGAGAGAGAGAGAGAGAGAGAGAGAGAGAGAGAGAGAGAGAGAGAGAGAGAGAGAGAGAGAGATTCAACAATAACACCTGAGATCCTACTCTAGGTAAATATTGCTGATCAGATTAAACAACCCAGGAGTTTGAATCCTATTTAGTCAGTAAAAGTCAAACTCAATAGGAACCAGTTGCTGGAATAAAACTAATGTTACTTGGAGGAAAAAGAGTGGGTGGGGTGTGGGGGGGGGGTGGGGGGGGGGGGTTTACAAGTTACACGCCTTATAATAAGTGTTCTCTTTAGGAAGTTCTTGCTAATGATGCCTGTTTTTTCATTACACTGATCCACAGAAACATTTTAAATTGTAGAAAACGTTACCGTAAATACTACAGTTGCCTCAAACATTAAATAGAGATCAATATCGAAAACACGGAAGTCATGAGAATAAGAAGAAAGCAACAAACCATCGACATAAAGATCAAAGATCAAAGTCTGAAACAAGTGCAAGAATTTCAATACTTGGGAAGAATTTTTAATGCAATGGTAAAACATACAGAGAGAAGGAGACTAGAATCTAACAAGCCAACAATGTCACGTACCAACGTGCTCCAATTTTAAAACACCCTGCTATCCCAGTAGAGACAAAATAAAAAATTATAAATACAATATTTATACCGACTTTACATTACCAATGTCACTTGGACATTGACAAAAAAACACGAAAAAAAAAAAATAAACTAACCACCTGTGAGATGAGATGTTTGAGAATGGTTGTGAATAAAACCATAAGAGATCGAGTGAGAAACGACGTGATCACAAGAACTGTTGGAACAACACCCATCGTCAAATTTATTGAGAAACAACAAAGAATGAAATGGTTTTGACGTCTTATTAAAATGAAACTAAGACACCAAGATGCATGGGAAGACCTAGAAGAAGATGGATTAAAGGAATCACTGACCTTTGAGACTGCATAAAATCAGGGCAGATTAAACGACCGAGCGCGCCCTGGCTC